GCTGCCCCTTCAGGGTGGTGGACGAGATCAACCAGGTAAAACACACATTTAAGAACCACAAAAAACAAAACTCCTAACACACAGTGTGTGTTTATATTACCTCTTCATTGCCTTCTGTGTGCAGGGAATGGATCCTGTCAACGAGAGGAGAGTGTTTGATATCGTGGTGCGTACTGCCTGCAAAGAGACGACGTCCCAGTATTTCTTTATCACACCCAAAGTGAGTCTTAGTGTCTTTTTGAGCGCTTAAAATAGATGAAGGCAAAAATGACTGTATGGTGTAAGAAAAGAAAATTGATCTTGAAATTATTTTGAGTAATATAAAATTCTTGTATTTGTTTTTTCCAATTCCCAGCTGCTGCAGAATCTTCAGTACGCTGATGAGATGACAATCCTGTGCGTTCACAACGGTCCTTACATGCTTCCCCCGAGTCAGTGGAACGAGAAGGCATTGATCAAACGGTGTTTGCAGAGAAAAGCCCGAGCGTGAAACCACCTGACCAGGCCGAGTCACTCACTCACCAAATATGTGACTGTGCAGCTCAAAATCTGAGTGAATACATTCTGAGTTTTTTTTTTTTTAAAGATAAGCACATTTATCATATTAATCTTTTAAAAGAAGAGTTCTATTTTTATAACGTTATTGTATAAAACAGAGCAACAATCGCCTGTTGACCGTCAAAATTTATTAAGGTGTGACCAAGGTTTATAAACAGATTCTCTGCAAACAGAAAAATACAGCGAGATTGTTTGAGTTTGTTTGCACATTTATATGTAAATACTTGTTTGTATATTGGAATAAAATATTGGAGTGCTGCTAGTTGGTGTGTGTTACCTTTAGTCAATGGGCTTTAAATATATATTTTGAGAGATGTTCTTGACTTGAAAAGATTAGATATAGATTGAATAGAGAATTTTAATTTTTACATTACACACATTAAGTCAGTTACAACATTGTTTAATCTAAAACACTTATTCTCTTTTTAAAAAGTAAATTGGAAAAAAAGTGTGTTTGGAAACAACATTAAATACAGGCACTGCAATAATAACACCTGTATTTTCAATTCTCGAAGAAGAAGTCCAGTTCCTTACAACTAAACTGTAATATATGAGTGGTATCACTGAGGAGAATCTAATTTTACGTCATGTGTAACATCATGTAATACTAAAATCTAAGGTGAAATCCAGAAGTTCATGTTAAATAGCAGCAGAACTTAAAATGATTCACTTTTTTTTCAAATAATTTGCACCATTTTAATACATTTAATGATCGTATTTTCACTTGTGGGATTTTGTTGAGTAAAGCTATGGTTCGCTGTAACCTGTAGTCACGTGACTGTTCTCTCTGCTTCACTTGATGCTGTGAATGGAGCGCCTCTGGTGGTCGACCCACACTCTGATGTCTGCCTGTTCCTCCTGAGCTGTGCCCTCGCAACTGTGGTTGTTCTCTTCACTGTACAGAAAGAAGAAAAATCTGATTTTAAGTTAAGTTTTTTTTTCATCTTCACTGTACAGAAAGAAGAAAAATCAGATTTTAAGTTAAGTTTTTTTCCCAAAATACTCCAGTCTATACAAAGGCATGAGATACAGTATATACAGTACTCTCAGCACCTGTGATCCTGTGTCTCCTTCTGGTAGAAGACCTGGGTCTTAGTTGGGAAGAAGTCCTTGTTGTGATCGTAGACAGACTTCAGCTGAAAGTCCAGGCTGTCGTTTGGAGCCTTTGGAGGAAAAAAAAGGAGAATAAAAAAAGCTGTCGGCCTTAGGACGTTACATAAGCTTCAGAAGTGAAGGTCGATGGCTGCTCTCCGGCTCTTACTTGACGCTCGTGGTGTGTGACACTCCGCCGAGTGCTGGCCATCGTAGCTCTGTCGTGGAGGCGACTCCAGGGTTCATCTCTCTGAGCCATGTGTGTTGGCTTCTGGAAGGATTTCTTCTACAACGGGAATGAAGAAACAAAACATTTATTCGATGAAAACTAACATTTTAACCTGAGGCTGAGACATAACATTTAAAAACGATTCTATTTTTTAAACGACTCAAGACATTAATAAAGTTGAGGTAAGAATTGTCACCAATCATTATTATTGCAGTCGGATATGTAGTGGATGAGAATGAAACAAAAGGAAAGGGACGCGCACGTTTTTGTTGTAAAAAACTAATTTTATAAATTATATTTTACCTATACTTAAAAAAGTCCTTCTTTTTTACACACCAGCTTGGTATCTTTTCGAGACTATAACACACTGACCTGCTGCGGCCTGATGCCACTCAAAGTTAAATCGTTTTCAAGCCGTGGAGAGGAGAAAGGATCACGGCCCGACATCGTTATTAATGACAAGACAGTCAGAAGAAATCAGAAAACTGTATCCAGGTGTTTACAAAAGTTCGTTTCCAGGCAACCGACAATTTCCGGTCAAAACTTTCAAAATAAAACCAAGAGTTCGTACATTTTCGTACGTACAATGACAATGTAATTATATAACGAACGAACAAACGAACGAACGAACGAACTGACTGACTGAATTATTATTATTTCATATTCAAGGTGGTCTTATAAATTATTATTTTTAAACTTAGTATATATATACATATATATATATCCATTTGTATCTTAACTTTTTGACCCTTGTACTTCCAGTGACACATTGAGAAGTATATGAAGATCCCTTGATTAGAATTAGACACCAGAGCCAATCAGCTGTCAGAATGATTTCACCTCCTCCTTCAGAGGCAGGATGACCTGCGCAGTCAACGTCAACAGCCGCAGCAGCAGCAGCAGCAGCAGCCGCAGCAGCAGCAGGTGAAGTCTACATCACTCTCACCGTGACATCTGGTGACAATGGAACACGGCCTGATGAACCTGAGGCTCGGTTTACTGTGGCTGCTCCTCACAGTGGCCTCAGCCGAGGACCTGCCGCTGTGCAAAGAGGTGAGCTTTGTTACAGAGACACTGTTAATTCAATCCTTATATACCACTGTAAAGGCTTTCACCCAGTCATTCAACTAGAAGTTCCAAAAACAGATGCTGCAAAGTTTAGTTTAGTCGACTGTTAAATTGAGTTGAAAACTTTTTAAAATTTTGATTATTTGATCTGAACTTGTATAAATTGACATAACTTTTCCAACTAGACCAAATGTCTTGTCGACCAATGGAAACAAACAATTGTTTAATTTAAGCATTTAATAACAAATTATTGATTTTGATTTTGCAGCCATAAATGAAGATCATTTAAGGCGCATTTCAGCTAAAAATAGCAGACTAACTCTAACAGACAGGCCTGTTAACATGTAAAGTCAACGAAAACTTGGGATATCAGTGAAAAAATGTCAACTGTTTTATTTATGTACGTATATAAAGTATTTAAAGAATATTTAGAAAAGACAAGAGATAAAAAAATGTAAACATTGTATTTGGAAAAAAGAGGAATTGTTTTTTTTAAATGGTTGATTTTCAACAGTGCAGTTAGGGACCACCATCTATGGGAATTGAACATATGTTTGCTTTTATAAGTGACTGTCTGCAGCTGTCCTCCTGGGCAGTTCCACTTCTCACACACTTCTTTTACTAGATCCTACGTATGCTCCACCGTCTGCTCTGCTCCGTGGCGTCCCCTTTCCATATTAACAGCACTTTTGGATTATATTCAAATCTTTTTCTGATATAAAAACAGAGAAATCCCCTGAGAGTGTGCGAAACACACTGTCAGTTGATCTGTGGTGGAACAGTTTGTTTCCACACCAGTCCACTGACCGTGAGACCCATTGGTCATGATGGCCCGTTGCCTTGGTTTCCTCATGTTTGTTCAAAGTAGGTGATTGGGCCGATGCCCATCAGCAGTATGATGCATTTTAACGCCAGATCCTCGTTCATCTGATACCTGCTCGGCTAATGTAGCAGCGCTAATGAAAAACACAGCAGAAGAGGCGTTACAGCTGCTGCTGCTGCTGCTGCTGCTGCTGCTGCTGCTGTGTTTGTGTTAACTATTAATCCCACCACCTCGTTGGTGACTTTTCATTGTTCCTGGTGTGTCAGATCAACAAACGCTTTAATTTCCACAAACATCACTGAGGGCGTGGTCCACAACAGTGGATTCTCTGCTTTGAGTTTTTCCTCTAAGTTTGTGTGACAGTGCAGAAGATAAATGTTTACCCAAGGTTCCGTTGAGTCACCATTCCTACATTTCAACTGACTTCAGATAGAGCCTGCAGGTGAGGACACCTTGAATAACGAGATTGTAACAGTTGAAGCAGCCTACTGGGTAAATATTGGCTCTGACTGTTGTTTGTTAAAGAGGCTGGGCTGGTTTTTAGAGGTAAAATATCAAAGTAGTAACGCAATAAATCTATTTATAAGTTTGAACAAGCGTTTTCCACGGTGGTTTGTCTTGACCTACAGTATTTTAGCATAGATGCTAATTTGACTCTTCCTGTTGCCACTTCATGAATATTTATACCAAACTTTCTAAGCATACGTTTATGTTGGTGGTTTTTGATCTGCTAGCAGTTTTTGTGTACACTGAAGTTAACTATGTGTTTCTATGTTTTATATGCTCCATTACTAAATATATTTTAGGTATTTCTGTGATAACTTTTATCTATATTTTGCAAATATTTAGCTCTGCTCGGCTATCTTAACTTGTATTGCTAACACATTACAATTATTCCTTATGTATTCCTTAATTATTTCAATACTTGAATTTATTTTGATCAAAATGTGGCCTTGTAAAGCTTACATGGTTTGCTCTGAAAGGTACTGTATATTTAAACATGCTTTGTCCTATATTTTCAACTAACTTAAGGCATGCTAATGTTTATGTCGCTACATTCTTTTTTTAGGAAAATAATTGAAATATATCTTGGTAATATTAAGCTATATACTTTCTTATTATCATACTTATTTAAAATGATTTTATTGGAAAAAACTATTGTAAAATGAATTGCCCTATGACAACAATTTCCATCTAGGCTAGTTATAAATTTATTTGAAGTTGACGTAGCTTTATTTAAAAAGGTTGTTATAAGAATTTTAATGTCATCTTCATTTAAGTAAGGAAACCTTGATGTACACCCTGCTTTAATTCATCATCTTTAAAACGGACTCTGTAGGTTTTTGTAATCTGCGTGTATGACTACATGTGTCTTTGTGTGAGAAACTCACAGCTGTGTCATGTTGCTGCAGTCGGACTATCACTTTGAGTACACAGCGTGTGACGTCCTGGGGTCAAGATGGAGAGTGGCTGTCCCCAACAAGGAACACACGTGCACCGGTCTCCCAGACCCAGTCAAAGGCACTCAGTGCAGTGAGTTTCTCACCTACGTTTGACTGGAATGTTCTGTTCATGTTCATGTTAATAAACTGCGTTCCTGTGACTCTTCTCTTCTACCTGCACAAAGCCTTTTCATGCAGCGAGGGTGAGTTTCTCAACATGCAGACGCAGGAGTGCCAGAAGTGTGCAGTAGGGACCTACTCTCTGGGCACAGGAGTGGCTTTTGATGAGTGGGACAGTCTGCCTGCTGGTTTCATCACCCACGGGGTGATGACAAACGACTGGGACAGCCAAACAGACTGCTCCAAGTTAGTGAAATAATTCACTTTTTTATTTTTACTCATTACTGTCTGCAGATCACAGTCTTTCTTTCTGTATTTTAAATTCCTCTTCAGACATTTATCATTAGGCTTAATATTTTTTTTCTATTTCAGCTCCACCTGGACTCCAAAGGGCGACTTCATCGTCTCAAACACAGACGAGTGCAGTGTGGTGCTGTCCTACGCCGTGAACCTAAAACAAGCAGGAACCGTGTCCTTCGAGTATTTCTACGAGGACAACAGTATTTACTTTGAGTTTTTCGTAAGTGACTGCTGAAGTTAAACGAGACACACGTTTGCAGTGAGGAAAATGTGGTCACCTCCTGCCTTTATGTTTATTTTTCCGTTTTAGATCCAGAACGACCAGTGTCAGTCGACAGAGTCAGAGAGCAGGTGGATGAAGATTTCAGACCAGCAGGGATGGAGTAAATACGAGGTTGGTCTGAGACCAGCCAACGTCTCCTTACGCGTCCCTCCCGCTCCTCTTTAATTCTTTAACCCCGACTCTGTGTAGGTTGAACTGAACAAGGGCACTAATGTGCTGTACTGGAGGTCCACGTCCTACATGCTGGGTGGAGGTGTCAAACCAGTCAAGTTGAGGAACATCGCCATCTCTGGTACATTCGCACCTTTAATCTTCCTCCCTTTTCTCATTTCCTGTTCCTGTTCATATAAGTGAGTCCCTGGTTTCCTTCCAGGTGTGGCCTACACCTCTGAGTGTTTTTACTGTAAACCTGGCTACCACAGTGCCAGTCCAGGAGCTGCCCGCTGTGCCATCTGCCCCGCTGATACCTACTCCACAAAGGGTGCCACAGTTTGCCATCAGTGTGAACCAGATAAATATGCAGGTAGAAATGTTTGTATGTGAAGCAACATGTGGACCAAACACCATGTAGTTGAGGATAATAAAGGACAAGTGAACTCAACAAAATACACATTTTTTTCTACTTTGTGTAAATTGTTATAGCTGAATTGGTACTTTGTGTAAATTGTTATAGCTGAATCACTGTGTGTGATAAAACTGGATTATCTAACCCTGTGACCCATTTACTTTAGCCTGACGACCGACATTTGGGTCACAAACCACCAGTAGAGAAACACCGTACTAACAAAGCCCAGAGAATAAAAACAGTTGATGAATAAACAAATGACTTCTATCATTTGTTTTCCAGCGGCTGGTTCAGGGAGCTGTGAACCCAGACCACTCTGTACAAGCAGTGACTACTTCTACACCCACACTCCATGTGACTCCGATGGTCAGGTAACGTCAAGTGAAATGAACAGTATATGGGCACACATGTTTGAAGAGAAATCACGTCCCTTCAAATATCTTTGTGGACTTTTGTTCTTAGACGCAGCTCATGTACAAGTGGAATGACCCCAAAATCTGCAACGAGACCTTGGAAGGATCAGTGACGCTTCCTGCTTCAGGAGAGAAACAGAGTTGTCCACCGTGTAACCCAGGTTTCTTTACCTCCACCTCCTCCACCTGTGAGCCCTGCCCCAGTGGCCTGTACTCTAACGGAACAGGTAACCAATCAGGATGGTGCTTTCTTCTCTCTGTGGATCATACTGAACATGGCTGTACACTGTATCCTTCTAAATCTGAATTTAAACCTGTGTTGCTCACAGCCTGTGAGGAGTGTCCAGTGGGAACTGAGCCGGTCTTTAACTTTGAGTACAAATGGTGGAACACGATGCCTGACAACATGAAGACGTTTGTCTTCACGGAGGATTTGATTGACTCTGATCAGAGCACAGGTAGGACCAATCTTCAGGGAAGTGAACTAAAAACAACCAGGTTAGGACTTCGATTTCAACATTT